GTCCAGTCAGAGTCCTGACCTCAACCCGATTGAAATGCTGTGGCATGACCTTAAGAGAGCGATTCACACAAGACATCCCAAGAATATTGCTACACTGAAACAGTTTTGTGAAGAGGAGTGGTCCAAAATGACTCCAGATCGTTGTGCAGTTCTGATCTGCAACTACAGGAAACGTTTGGTTGAGGTTATTGCTGTCAAAGGAGGGTCAACCAGTTATTAAGTCCAAAGGTTCACATACTTTTTCCTCCCTGCACTATGAATGTTTACATGTTATGTGCAATTAAACCATGGCAACATCTAATGTTTGTGTAGTATTATGTTCAGCAGACTGTGTTCTTCTATTGTTGTGACTTAGATGACGTTCAGAGCACATTTTATGCCCAATTCATGCAAAACTCCACGTAATCCCAAGGGGTTCACATACTTTTTCTTGCAACTGTATATATATATATATATATATATATACAGTTGTGTTCAAAATAACAGCAGTCAGACATCACTAACCTGATCAATCACTGTTTTTTGGTAGAAATGATATTTCTACGTGGCAAATAATTTACTAGCAGGTGTAGTAGAGTAATAGAAATCCAACAGACCCAACAGTCATGACATGCATACTGCTGATTCTGTGTAATTAAATCACTAATTGAAAGGGGCATGTTCAAAATAATAGCAGTGTGGAGTTCTATTAGTGAGGTCATTCATTCTTTGAAAAACAGGTAGCAATTATTGCCCTTACTTAGGAAGGAAGGCAGCAAATGTTGTACATGCTGGTTACAGTACATTTCTCTCTGAAATTCTGAGGAAAATGGGTCGTTCCAGACATTGTTCAGAAGAACAGCGTACCTTGATTAAAAAGTTGATTGGAGAAGGGAAAACTTATAAAGAAGAAAATGATAGGCTGCGCAGCTAAAATGATTGTAAATGCCAAAATCGCAAGGACTCAGCCAACAATCAGCTCCAGGAAGATCAAAGAAGGTGTAAAGTTACCTGTGAGTACTGTTACAATTAGAAGACGCCTATGTGAAGCCAAGCTACCTGCAAGAAGCCCCCGCAAAGTTCCACTGTTGAAAAAAAGACATGTGCTGAAGAGGTTACAATTTTCCAAAGAGCACATTGACTGGCCTAAAGAGAAATGGCACAACATTTTGTGGACTGATGAAAGTAAGATTGTTCTTTTTGGCTCTAGTGGCTGGAGACAGTTTGTCAGACGACCCTCAAACACTGAATTCAAGCCACAGTACACTGTGAAGACAGTGAAGCATGGTTGCGCAAACATCATGATATGGGGATGTTTCTCATACTACGGTGTTGGGCCTATTTATCACATACCAGGGATCATGGATCAGTTTGAATACATCAGAATACTTGAAGAGGTCATGCTGCCTTATGCTGAAGAGGAAATGCCCTTGAAATGGGTGTTCCAACAAGACAACGACCCCAAACACACCAGTAAACCTGCAACATCTTGGTTCCAGACCAACAAGATTGACGTTATGGAGTGGCCAGCCCAATCCCCGGATCTTAATCCAATAGAAAACTTGTGGGGTGACATCAAAAATGCAGTTTCTGAGGCAAAACCAAGAAATAGAGAAGAACTGTGGAATGTAGTCCAATCATCCTGGGCTGGAATACCTGTTCACAGGTGCCAGAAGTTGGTTGACTCCATGCAACACAGATGTACAGCAGTTCTCAGAAACAGTAGTTATACAACTAAATATTAATTAAGTGATTGCTTGAGGTGATTGTAGCCGTATTAGTGCATTTCCGACAGAAACAATTGAGTACTGTCCATGATAATTTTTTTATTTGCACTAACATACAATTTTGAGGACAAGCTTTTCGGGTATGTCCCCTTCTTCAAAGTCCAAGCAGTACTAAACAAATCACAAAGTTTCAGCAGAATGTTAGAAGGAATGGAAAAAAAAAAAAGAGGCTAGAGATAATATACAGCAAAAGCGAGGGGGGGGGGAATACTACATTCACACAGAGGGAGTAAAGCTTAAGCTGATAGTCATAAAACTGTTGGACAATGAGTGAGGAATCCCACGTCCAAACCAAGGCCGCCATCCCCTGTGTCAAATAGAACCATCATTCTGAGTTCAAAAGTTTTCTTTCCTGAATAGACCCGAAACCTCCCTCAAGAACCAAAACATTGAGGTCTCCCATTGTGTGGCCTGGCTGTGCGACATGTTGTCCCACAGGTGTGCAGAGGTCATCCTCTTCATGTTCCCTGACGGTATGTCTGTGCAAATCCATCTCTGTCTGCAACCCCTGTCCTGTCTCGCCAACACGAGACCCCCCTGCCGCACCCCCTGCACTGGACAAGTTACACAACACCACTGGAGGTGCAGCTGCGCGATCCGGAAACATCGAAGATCCCCCCTGAGTGTCTGACACTTTCCGATGGACTGACCTGGCCGCACAGTTTGCAGCGCCCCCTACCGCAGGATGTGCCTCCACCATTTGTGACATCTTGATCAGAAGGAAGCTTCCCACTGACCAGTTTTATGTCTGAGGTTGGGGGGCTGACTGTGCGGCCAGGTCAGTCCATCGGAAGGTGTCAGACACTCAGGGGGGATCTTCGATGTTTCCGGATTGTGCAGCTGCACCTCCAGTGGTGTTGTGTACCTTGTCCAGTGCAGGCAGTGCGGCAGGGGGTCTTGTGTTGGCGAGACAGGACAGGGGTTGCAGACGGGGATGGATTTGCACAGACATACCATCAGGGAACATGAAGAGGATGACCTCTGCACACCTGTGGGAAACCATTTCGCACAGCCAGGCCACACAATGGGAGACCTCAGTGTTTTGGTTCTTGAGGGAGGTTTCGGGTCTATTCAGGAAAGAAAAACTTTTGAACTGAGAATGATGGTTCTATTTGACACAGGGGATGGGCGGCCTTGTTTGGACGTGGGATTCCACACTCATTGTCCAACAGTTTTATGACTATCAGCTCAAGCTTTACTCCCTCTGTGTGAGTGTAGTATTCCCCCCCTCCCCCCTCGCTTTTGCTGTATATTATCTCTAGCCTCTTTTTTTTTTTTCATTCCTTCTAACATTCTGCTGAAACTTTGTGATTTGTTTAGTACTGCTTGGTCTTTGAAGAAGGGGACATACCCCGAAAGCTTGTCCTCAAAATTGTATGTTAGCGCAAATAAAAAAAGTATCTGTCAGGGCTCCCAGGTATGACCAGAGGTGTGTGACTGATGCAGGGAAACGCAGACTTCAGATATGTGATAAACAATACAATTTATTAACACTAACCATACAAACATAAACGCAGTGCAATACTAAACATAATACAGTGCAAACAAACCAAACCAACCACAGATAACAGTACATACAAGCAGCGTCGTGAGGCAGGCCGGGTCAATATCAATTGGGCAGGTAGGTACAGGGGGAGCAAGCAGAGAATGGTCGGGGTCACAGGCCAGGTTCAGCAGGTAGCAAGCAGCGTAGTACAGAGGGTCAGGCAGAGGGATGGTCAGGGTCACAAGCCAGAGATCAAAACAGGTAACAAGCAGCGTAGTACAGAGGGTCAGGCAGAGGGACAGAAACAGGATGCAGGACAGATACAGGGCCCAGGACAAACACAACACCAAGGCAGAGTCTGTGGGTCTGGCCATCCCTTAAATACCCCAGCATCATCAGTTCCAGGTGTTAGCTGGCTGAAAGGTTGAGTCTCTGATTGCTGGGAGCACCCGCTGGCCAGCCCTGGTACTGCAGATCAAAAGGCAGGTGAGTCCCACCATTGCTGGCCAGTCCATTCCTAACAGTACCCCCCCCCCCCCCCAAGGAGCGGCCTCAGGACACTCCAAACAGTCCTAGCTGGGCAAAATGTTCCACCGCCCGGGTCTGGTAACTGGCGGGATATCAAAGACTGGCACACCGGGCAGGACTCCGGGCAGCGGCACACCGGGCTGGACTCCGGGCAGAGGCACACCGGGCTGGACTCCGGGCAGAGGCACACCGGGCTGGACTCCGGGCAGAGGCACATCGAGCAGAGGCACACACCGGGCAGAGGCACACCGGGCAGAGGCACATCAGGCAGAGGCACATCAGGCAGGACTCCGGGCAGAGGCACATCGGGCAGAGGCACATCGGGCAGGACTCCGGGCAGAGGCACATCGGGCAGGACTCCGGGCAGAGGCACATCGGGCAGGACTCCGGGCAGAGGCACATCGGATTACCAGGCGAAGCAGCAGGCAGCGGGCCACCAGGCGGAGCAGCAGGCACCGGGCCCCCGGGCGGAGCAGCAGGCACCGGGCCCCCGGGCGGAGCAGCAGGCACCGGGCCCCCGGGCGGAGCAGCAGGCACCGGGCCCCCGGGCGGGGCGACCGGGCCCCCGGGCGGGGCAGCAGGCACCGGGCCCCCGGGCGGAGCAGCAGGCACCGGGCCCCCGGGCGGGGCGACAGGCGCCGGGCCCCCGGGCGGAGCAGCAGGCGCCGGGCCCCCGGGCGGGGCAGCAGGCGCCGGGCCCCCGGGCGGAGCAGCAGGCGCCGGGCCCCCGGGCGGAGCAGCAGGCGCCGGGCCCCCGGGCGGAGCAGCAGGCGCCGGGCCCCCGGGCGGAGCGACCGGCGTCGGGCCCCCAGGCGGGGCGGCGGGCGCCGGGCCCCCAGGCGGAGCGACAGGTCTCGGGCCCTCAGGCGGAGCGGCGGGCGCCGGACCCCCAGATGGAGCGACAGGTCTCGGGCCCTCAGGCGGAGCGGCGGGCGCCGGACCCCCAGGCGGAGCGACAGGTCTCGGGCCCTTAGGCGGAGCGGCGGGCGCCGGACCCCCAGGAGGAGCGACAGGTCTCGGGCCCTCAGGCGGAGCGGCGGGCGCCGGACCCCCAGGTGGAGCGACAGGTCTCGGGCCCTCAGGTGGAGCGCGGTGGGCGCCGGACCCCCAGGCGGAGCGACAGGTTTCGGGCCCTCAGGCGGAGCGGCGGGCGCCGGACCCCCAGGCGGAGCGACAGGTCTCGGGCCCTCAGGCGGAGCGGCGGGCGCCGGACCCCCAGGCGGAGCGACAGGTCTCGGGCCCTCAGGCGGAGCGGCGGGCGCCGGACCCCCAGGAGGAGCGACAGGTCTCGGGCCCTCAAGCGGAGTGGCGGGCGCCGGACCCCCAGGCGGAACGACAGGTCTCAGGCCCCCAGGCGGGGCGGCGGGCACCGAGTCACCAGGCACAACCGTGGGCTCCGAGTCAACTGGGATGACCGCTGGCACTGGGTCAGACATTGGATCGTCTGGCTGGACAGCGGGCATCGGGTCACCAGGCATCAGGTCATTTGGCTCGACAGCGGGCATCGCGTCATCTGGCAAGGCAGTGGGCTCCGAGTCAACTGGTATGACCGCGGGCACTGGGTCAGACATTGGATCGTCTGGCTGGACAGCGGGCACTGGGTCACCAGGCATCAGGTCATTTGGCTCGACAGCGGGCACCGCGTCATCTGGCAAGGCAGTGGGCTCCGAGTCAACAGGCACGACAGTGAGCACCGGGTCATCAGGTACCGGATTGTCTGGCTCGACAGCGGGCATCGGGTCACCAGGTATGACAGCGGGCACTGGGTCACCAGGAATCAGGTCATTTGGCTCGACAGCGGGCACCGGATCAGGTACCGGATCATCTGGATCAACAGCGGGCATCGAGTCAACTGGCCTAATAGGATCGTCAGGCTGGATCAGTTCATCATGCTGGGGTAGAGGCTTCAGGCTGAATGCCGGCGTCCGGCTGAGTAGAGGCTTCAGGCCGAGTAGAGGCTTCAGGCCGAGTAGAGGCATCAGGCCGAGTAGAGGCATCAGGCCGAGTAGAGGCATCAGGCCGAGTAGAGGCTTCAGGCCGAGTAGAGGCATCAGGCCGAGTAGAGGCATCAGGCCGAGTAGAGGCATCAGGCCGAGTAGAGGCTTCAGGCCGAGTAGAGGCTTCAGGCCGAGTAGAGGCTTCAGGCCGAGTAGAGGCTTCAGGCCGAGTAGAGGCATCAGGCCGAGTAGAGGCATCAGGCCGAGTAGAGGCATCAGGCCGAGTAGAGGCATCAGGCCGAGTAGAGGCTTCAGGCCGAGTAGAGGCATCAGGCCGAGTAGAGGCATCAGGCCGAGTAGAGGCATCAGGCCGAGTAGAGGCTTCAGGCCGAGTAGAGGCTTCAGGCCGAGTAGAGGCTTCAGGCCGAGTAGAGGCATCAGGCCGAGTAGAGGCATCAGGCCGAAGAGAGGCATCAGGCCGAAGAGAGGCATCAGGCCGAAGAGAGGCATCAGGCTGCATACAGGCATCAGGCTGAAGAGAGGCATCAGGCTGCGTACCGGCATCAGGCTGAAGAGAGGCATCAGGCTGAGTAGAGGCTTCAGGCTGAGTAGAGGCTTCAGGCTGAGTAGAGGCTTCAGGCTGAGTAGAGGCTTCAGGCTGAGTAGAGGCTTCAGGCTGAGTAGAGGCATCAGGCTGAGTAGAGGCTTCAGGCTGAGTACAGGCTTCAGGCTGAGTACAGGCTTCAGGCTGAGTACAGGCTTCAGGCTGAGTCACGGAAGGCAGGCTCACCGGTTTGGATACTGGCAGATGGTACTGGTTGGAAAGAATTTTCGCTTTTTTCTGGTTTTAACTACTGGAGCACTGCAAGTAAACACAGGTCTGCAAACGAATGGAGCAGCTGGAGACAGAGAAGAACTGGAGGATGGAACAGGAGAGGGAGCAGTTGCTACAGAGGGCTCTTTTACAGGGTTAAAGGCAGGATAGGTGCAGCGAGTGGGAACAGGGTACTGACATGCGGTAGATAGCAGGGCAGGAGGAGCTGTTGGGAATGCAGGAATAGAGTTTTGAGGAAATAGATTAGAAGCAGGACTGGGTCTTTGTAAGCTGACTGAGGCTGGGTGCAACAAATCTGTCCATGTCTGCAGTATGGGTTGTCTGGCTCGACAGCGGGCATCGGTCACCAGGTATGACAGCGGGCACTGGGTCACCAGGAATCAGGTCATTTGGCTCGACAGCGGGCACCGGATCAGGTACCGGATCATCTGGATCAACAGCGGGCATCGAGTCAACTGGCCTAATAGGATCGTCAGGCTGGATCAGTTCATCATGCTGGGTAGAGGCATCAGGCTGAATGCCGGCGTCCGGCTGAGTAGAGGCTTCAGGCCGAGTAGAGGCTTCAGGCCGAGTAGAGGCATCAGGCCGAGTAGAGGCATCAGGCCGAGTAGAGGCATCAGGCCGAGTAGAGGCTTCAGGCCGAGTAGAGGCATCAGGCCGAGTAGAGGCATCAGGCCGAGTAGAGGCATCAGGCCGAGTAGAGGCTTCAGGCCGAGTAGAGGCTTCAGGCCGAGTAGAGGCTTCAGGCCGAGTAGAGGCATCAGGCCGAGTAGAGGCATCAGGCCGAAGAGAGGCATCAGGCTGCATACAGGCATCAGGCTGAAGAGAGGCATCAGGCTGCGTACCGGCATCAGGCTGAAGAGAGGCATCAGGCTGAGTAGAGGCTTCAGGCTGAGTAGAGGCTTCAGGCTGAGTAGAGGCTTCAGGCTGAGTAGAGGCTTCAGGCTGAGTAGAGGCATCAGGCTGAGTAGAGGCTTCAGGCTGAGTACAGGCTTCAGGCTGAGTACAGGCTTCAGGCTGAGTACAGGCTTCAGGCTGAGTCACGGAAGGCAGGCTCACCGGTTTGGATACTGGCAGGATGGTACTGGTTGGAAAGAATTTTCGCTTTTTTCTGGTTTTAACTACTGGAGCACTGCAAGTAAACACAGGTCTGCAAACGAATGGAGCAGCTGGAGACAGAGAAGAACTGGAGGATGGAACAGGAGAGGGAGCAGTTGCTACAGAGGGCTCTTTTACAGGGTTAAAGGCAGGATAGGTGCAGCGAGTGGGGAACAGGGTACTGACATGCGGTAGATAGCAGGGCAGGAGGAGCTGTTGGGAATGCAGGAATAGAGTTTTGAGGAAATAGATTAGAAGCAGGACTGGGTCTTTGTAAGCTGACTGAGGCTGGGTGCAACAAATCTGTCCATGTCTGCAGTATGGGTTGAACAAAGCTGAGCTTACACAAAGCCTGTCTGGTCAATGACTGTACTGCGTTTATACAATCTCTTAGTGTCTGTGGTGAACATGTGGAATAACGCTCCAGAAAGTAACCCACATCATCCTCTAATAACCACACCAGGGACTCTACCTGGTCTGCACTAAATGGTGGCAAAAATTCATCCCTGCATTCGGGGGAACCAGATGAAACCAACTCAGCACAAACCTCAATCAAAGGCTGCACCTCAGAGAACTCTGTGCCCTGATCTACTAGAACATGAGCGAGCCGTATACATTCTAGCAGTTCATCCCGGGTATACTCCTTCAGAGTTTGATAAGCATACTCCCTGTCATCAAACACTAGCAGATATAAATATTCAACCTCATCCAGATCCATCCTTCCCATCAACAAGCCAAGATGGCTTCCCTGTGCAGCCACTTCTGGTCAGGATTGGCCTTGGTGTAATGTCAGGGCTCCCAGGTATGACCAGAGGTGTGTGACTGATGCAGGGAAACGCAGACTTCAGATATGTGATAAACAATACAATTTATTAACACTAACCATACAAACATAAACGCAGTGCAATACTAAACATAATACAGTGCAAACAAACCAAACCAACCACCCACAGATAACAGTACATACAAGCAAGCATCGTCAGGCAGGCCGGGTCAATATCAATTGGGCAGGTAGGTACAGGGGGAGCAAGCAGAGAATGGTCGGGGTCACAGGCCAGGTTCAGCAGGTAGCAAGCAGCGTAGTACAGAGGGTCAGGCAGAGGGATGGTCAGGGTCACAAGCCAGAGATCAAAACAGGTAACAAGCAGCATAGTACAGAGGGTCAGGCAGAGGGACAGAAACAGGATGCAGGACAGATACAGGGCCCAGGACAAACACAACACCAAGGCAGAGTCTGTGGGTCTGGCCATCCCTTAAATACCCCAGCATCATCAGTTTCCAGGTGTTAGCTGGCTGAAAGGTTGAGTCTCTGATTGCTGGGAGCACCCGCTGGCCAGCCCTGGTACTGCAGATCAAAAGGCAGGTGAGTCCCACCATTGCTGGCCAGTCCATTCCTAACAGTATCACGGACAGTACTCAATTGTTTCAATTAAGTGATTCAAAGGAAAGCAAAATCTTCAAACATTTTTCAGTTTATATAGTGAATGTTTGAGTTTGTAAAGAAGAATACAAACACTGCTATTTTTTTGAACAGTCTAATATTCACTTTTCTTCAATTTTTTTAGAGGAACAACACAAATTTGATATATTTTTCTTCATGTTTTGATTTGGAATAGAATGTGTAGTGTTCCCAATGCATTTGTGTGTATGGAAATAAAAGCTATTAGAAGGATTTTGAGCTTTATTCACTTTTTTCAACACGCTGCTATTATTTTGAACAGAACTGTATATATACAGTTATATACACCACAAACGTTTGAGGCGCAATTCAGGATTGACCATGCAAAAAAATTGCACATACTCGACAGCTGAGGAGCATCTGCAGAAACATTGGGCATAGTACCCTGACAGTGCCACAACAGAATACAACACAAACTTTGAGGCACACTGCAGGATTGACTCTGCATAAAAAACTGTACAAATTTGTCAACCGAGAAGCAGCTGGTACCGTGACTGGTAATGCTGAAAGGTCTGCAGCAGTGACAGAAGGTGATAATGGTGTCAGCCCAGCAGTGGTAGAAGAAGCTGGTAGTAGTGGCAGGGTGTGGAAATAGTGGTAGGATATGATAATGGTGGCAGGACAGCAGCAGTGGCAGGAAATGATAATACTGTAATAACGTTTTTGTGGTCAGTCTAAAAGAAAAAAATGTAATTGCTAGCCGTGGTACTTTTTGCTGCTTTTTCGTCCTAACATCAGTTGTGTTTGGAGACAGGTAGATTCTTTATACTATCACAAAGCCACTCACTGCCCTAAATGCCCATTCTGAAAGCACACTTGTCAATCTCTGGAAAAGATGTTAAGAGGTTCCTTTGCGGCGCCTCTTCAAGACGGTGCATTTATTTTCCCTTTGATGGCAGGATGACATTTTTCCCTTGTTGCATAGATGAAAGGGGTGACCAACCAGTAATAGTTCATTGATGGCCCAAATCCTGGGTGTCAGTGAATGTACTGACAGGCACACTCCTTTCTCAAGAGCATGAGAAAGTAGTGCACCTGTCAATACGTTCACAGTGCATGCTCAGGAAATGCGGCACATTATGTCTGGTGATGTCATCTTGCCTCAGGTTACGCTTCATGAAAGTTCCAGCCCTTGCCCTCGGATCCTCTCCATCTTGCGGCTGGCTTCCTGGAACCAATACAAGCAGGACTGTGTAGAGATATGGTGTTTAGATTAGTTTACGCTGCAGACGTCCACTCTTTTGGCAGATATAGATGTGCTTTTGAAATCTGCTTTTTTGTGAGTTGCCAATTGTCTCTGTACAATGAATCCTTTTAAATATCTACACTTAGAGGCACATTTCTTTCTCCCTTCTCTGCCAAGGGAAGCTGCACTGAGTCCTGTTCTAACTGTGACCATGGCTTCGAGGTATGTTGCCTACAGTCATAGGCGTAGCATCAGGGGTCACAGGGGTCATAATTGCAACCCCGCCCCTAGCTCCAGGGGGCCCGCGGCTCCACTCCCTGCTGTCATAAAAATATTTCCCCCACAAAAACCCATAGCTGGAGTCCAGCTCCAATTCATCTTGAGTCCCAGAGGTCCCCAACCAAGCTCTATAATCCAATAATCAGCTTCCAGTCATTTGCCTTCTCCTTAGTCCACACCCCTCCTCCGCTCTCATTGGCTGGGGAGAAGACATGTGTTTCCTGAACAGATTGGAGGACCGAGACCAGCCTGGAGAAGCATGGCAGTGTGTTGACAACAGTGGGGGGACAGTGATCTGCTTGTCTGTCACAAGGCAGGAGACTGCCACTCAGGACTGAGAGCAGCCTGGGACTGAGAAACATGACAGTGTGCTGA